ATTGATAAACATTATTTTTATTTTTATTGTTATTTTAAATAATAATTTTATAGTTAATTGCAAAAATTAATTAATTTTATATCTAATTTTATTTATTATTGTTATATTTAGCTTTATTAATATTGTTTAATTTTGTTGTTGTTTTTGTTATTAAATTAACTAGTATTTGCACCCGTGCGATGCACGGCCATATATATAATGTGTATAATATATAGTATCATATAATGCAAAAATGTAATGATAAGCAGTAATAACTTCATGACACAAACGTGAAATTAGTATTACACATTATTGAATACTTTTTTGTATACGGCATTAGTAGTTGTATTGTGAGATTGTACATTTTCTTCATAAATAAAGATTTTTAATCCATTAGGATTACTAACTCTTGACGCTGCTGCATACATTTGATCATGATTAAAACTGGCATTTTCAAAAATAAACCGACGTTGGATAGTGTTTGACCTTGACTTTTATTTGTTGTCATGGCATATGATAACATCAGCGAAAATTGCTTTATTTGGAACTGAAAATGCAATCTTAAATCAGAATGTGTTAAGGACATCCGCAAAATTAAGACCTTTGTACCTACATTTGATCTGCACATTATTTGAGCTTCCAAAACATGATCAGCCAACTTTGTAATAATCATCTTTGTAGCATTGCACAGACCCAATGAGTATTCAATATTTCTCAAAAGCATAACAGGTGAACCAACTTTTAGAGCCAATAAGTGATTTAGAACTCCAGAACACCGTAAACCATTTAAAAATTCTGGAGTGTGCAAATCAGCAACATATCTACATTAGAATCAGATTTACATACCGAATCACAGCTGAGATACGCCCTTCTTTCGGCTAAATACTTTACAGCTTCTGCAAAAATAGGATGAATTTATACTTGCTCTCACAATATTTTGCCTCGTGCCCTTTGGAATAACTGGTAGAATTTGCCGGAAATCTCCACCTAACACCACTGTTTTTCTTCCAAAAGTCAAATCAAAGCTGTTTGGATTTGTTACACGCATTAGATCTCTCATAGTATGGTCCAAAGCTTCAAAGCAAAATTTATGCATCATTGGAGCCTCATCCCAAATTCTCAACTTACCTTGCATGATCAACTGTGCCAACGGACTACCTTGAATGCGTAGTTCTTCCCCCGGGTAATAAAAGAGACGATATACCACTTGATGTAACATTTAGAACTATATCACCCTTTGACCTTAAAGCAGAAGACAATGTTCTCCACAAAAATGTTTTTCCCATTCCACCGTATCCATATATTCTCAACATCAAGCAATAGTCCTCATATATTAAGTAATACGTGCTCATATATTACCCTTTGCTGTTCAGTTATTTGCTTTTATATATATATATATATATATATATATATATATATATATATATATATATATATATATATATATATATTGTTGGTCCCAAAAGAGGTAAGGTGAAAGTCTAGAGGGGGGGGGGGGGTGAATAGACTTTCAAACTTTTTCGCACCGCACAACAATTGCTAAGCCAGAGATAAACCAAAACTCTTAACTAGATTGTTAGAGTATGGTGCACAGCGGAAATAAATAAACATAAAGTGTGTGTGAGATTGTGTGAGCAGTATATCTCGTGTAGAGCGAATATGTAAAGAGCGGTAAGTAAAGAAAACAGTAAAGAACACAAGACAATTATAGCGGTTCGCGAGGTGGTGTAATCCTCCTACTCCACTTGCTCTTATCTCCAAGAGCAATTCACTATATCTACCACTCCTTGGTTCTAAGATACAATGAATTTCCGTGATCTAGTGCTTTGATCACAAAGCCCGCACTAATCACGCCCAGTGACACCACACTGCTGCTTCGGGTTTCACGTCGCCGCGCTACTATCCCAGGATTTCACGACTCTACGTTACTTTCCCCCCGTCTTCCACACTCCGGTAGAAACGTATCCCGTGATCTGGTGCTTTGATCACCAAGCCCACACCAATCACGCCCAGTGCCTCCGACACTGCTGCTTCGGATCTCACAGCTCCGTGTGACAATCCAGGATTTCACAGCTCCGTGCTACTTTCCTCCCTTCTCTTGTTTTGCTCCAAAACAAGTGTTGTCTTGCTTCCAACTTCTGAGACTCTGTAGATGATCTTCAATGATGCGCAGGTCTCTTTGATGAAGATAAACACTCTGGATGATTTCTCTTGATAGCTCTGAGTGTTTTCTCTCTTCGAATATATCAAGTTAAGCACTTGATATTTATGCTCTGTTTTGCTCTGTTTAAGAACTCTCAGAATATTTTTCTTTTGAAGCTCTCTGAGTTCTTTTTCTTTTCTCACTTCACACTTGAAGATTTTTGGTATGCTCTGTATCAAATGAGATTTTTGCTCTATGCTCTTTCAAGCTTAATTGCTCTATTCGATCTCCTTGATGATTTCAAATTTTCTGCTCTCTTGTTCGTGAGTTCCCCATCTTCAAGTCTTCATATCTTCATCATTTTATAGCTGGTAATGAGAATCTGTCCGTTGGAAAGAGACGCTCTCATTTTTGAAATCTTGTATCTTTTTGTCAGAGATCTTATCTTATCTTCTGCAAAGATGTCAGAAAGGATAAGCTAGCCGTTGTTAGAGCTTCATCTCCATGTAAATGGGTTCTCGAACTTCATCTGATATTTCCTCTGGTTTTACGTTGAGTGGAAATATCTGGGTGTAGAACGGCTTCTCTGATTAGCTCTGAAGTGGTCTTTATATCTTTGGGATTTAAAAAATATTCATTAATTTAATCCCATACTAGTTAAACTAGTATTTTTCCTTGTGAGAATATTTTCACTGTAAGTTCATCTTCATCTTCTTCATTCTCATGTCTGGGTGTTCTCAGACTTCAAACTGGTTGTGAACTTCCACCCAATTTGAATTTCTCCTTTGTAATTGACACACCCAATTTGAATTGAATTTCTCCTTTGTAATTGACACTCACTCAATTTCAATTGGCTTGTAATTGGCTCCCAATTGATTTTGACTCCGCTTTCAATTGACTTTAAAACCCAATTTGAATTGAATTTCTCCTTTGTAATTGACACTCACTCAATTTCAATTGGCTTGTAATTGGCTCCCAATTGATTTTGACTCCGCTTTCAATTGACTTTGAAACCCAATTTGAATTGAATTTCTCCTTTGTAATTGACACTCACTCAATTTCAATTGGCTTGTAATTGGCTCCCAATTGATTTTGACTCCGCTTTCAATTGACTTTGAAATTGGCTCCAGACTTCTCCCAATTTCAATTCTACATTGGCTCCCATCTTGATCTTCTACATTGGCTCCCATCTTGATCTTGAATTGATTCCCATGTGAAACTTGCTCCCAATTTTAATTGAATCCCATGTGAAACTTGCTCCCAATTTTAATTGATTTCAATTGTCGAACTAGCTTCCGCTCCCAATTTTAATTGATTTCAATTGTCGAACTAGCTTCCTCCCAATTTCAATTGTCGAACTAGCTCCCAATTCCTTTGCAATTTCCACTTGTAATCGGCGCCCAAAGCTTAAATTAGCGCCCAACTCCATCAGATTAATTTAATTTGGCTTCTCAAATTTTACCTTGTAAAATTGTTGATGGTGAGTTTCAAACTTGAGCCATTTCAAATAATATATCAAGCATCATCCATTTCGTCCGTACAACTTTTGATTAAATCTCCAATCACTTTTGATATACTCCTTTCTTTCCATAGATGCTTGATCTCCAAGTCAATTTCATGCATTCTTCCAATATTAATTTTCTTCACGAAAATTCTTCTGGGATATCTTCTTTGAGTAGCATTTGACGTGATTTCATATCATTCATCTTCTTCTTCAATTTGTCATTTTCTCCAGACAAATTCTTGATTTTAGGCTTTATATCTTCTTCTTCTATTTTCATCCATCTTCCTCTGTTTTTCTCTTTTCAAATATAGATAATTTTCTGATCGTGGTCTGAGACTCTACTAGACCTAAGAAATAAAATTGGGGGATCTACAAATACATATTTGGCATATCAAAACCATTACACTTTATTCCTAACATATATATATATATATATATATATATAACTAAAAATTTGCTACAAATGTGTTAGATATACTTGTATATAAAATATTTACCGGTTGTAAGAGCACTTATTGGTGTATCATTTAAAGTAGAATATCCACGCATCGATTGTTTCGTGGAACAATTACAACTATTTTGTTGCGATATAGCATTGTTAATATTTGATAAGGGAGAATTTTCTACATTCTCCGCAAACAACCAAATAACACAATTACACCTAAATAAGAATCTATATATACAAAAAATTAATCAAAATATTAAAATTTCCAAAAAAAAAAAAAAAAAAAAAAAAAAAAGGAAACCAAAAATCTATAAAAGATGTATTATTATGATAGACATTTTATTGCCAATAATTATGTTTTACAATGTACATCCCCTGAATACAATATACATTATTTTTGTACTGAATATATATTATTTTGTACTGAATGTATATTATTTTACAGTAGATAAAATATGGTCCACACAACTTGTGTAGACCATAATTTGCCAATCATTATTGTGTGGATCATAGTCTACACAAGTTGTGTGGACCATATTTTGTCTACTGTAAAATAATATACATTCAATACAAAATAATGTATATTCAGTACAAAAATAATGTACATTGTATTCAGGAAATGTACATTATTTTTGTTCTGAGTGTACATTATATTGTATAATGTACATTCAGTACAAAAATAATGTACATTTAGTATATTAAAATTGTAAATTTTGTTAAGGTCTACATAAGATTGTGTGGATCATGGTCCACACAATAATTCTGGTCCACACAATAATTCTACTAACTTATAATGGGCTTGAAGGTCCACTAAATAATGTAATCTAATGGTCCATCAACCATTTCCATTACACAGCCCATGAAGAATTGTAGCCCAACAATAAATAGCCATTCAACCGATTACTGCTGATCTTCGACCATTACACATATGTGGTTACCGTTACTTCAGCATTTTCCCCAAATTGTCTTCGTCTCAGCTCACTGCTCTTCGAGAACAATCTCACTCTATCGATTTGGAAATCAATTCATTCTCTACCATGCCACAAATTGAATAGAATTTCCGTAAGAACAATTCAATATATGTTGGTTGCGTAAGGTAAAAATTGAATGAGCAGAGAAGAACAACTCCTCTACACACCGTCAAAGCGCCTTAATCATCCGAGCAACAAAGTCCGGCAACCATGGTGATAAGGAGAGCTTCCATCAAGAAATAGTAAGTTTTGATGATTTTTTCCAGTTTAAAACAATTTAAAGTTGCCAGATCAGAACCCTAATTTCTTGATTTATAGATCTAACTACTCCGGCGAACAGACCGAAGGAGTACAGCTCAAGATCTAAACTGGAAACATTCATGTGTACATGCAGATAATCTTCGTCGTCCATGGTTGATACAGACAGCGTTCTTAAAATGCGGTCAGTTTCCATTATTTTGTACTAAAAATCCATTCTACATTCATGTTTTAGAATGGCAGTGTGTCAGAAAACAAATTTTAGTATATAGTTTGAAGAAATGTTTAAGTCCTTATTGCTCTATTTTGCATTGACTTCAATTTTCTGTCCTGGGTTATAAGTCAGTATTCTTTAATGTATTTACATTTAAGTGTGATTCTATTTTTAAGTTTTGGTTAAGTCTTAAAATGTACTATAATCTTGTCAATTGATCTTGAGTTTTTGTTTTGGGTTAATCTAAGTTTTTTTTAATCTAAGTTTATTTTAATATTGTATGTCAATGTTGTGTGCATTTTTATTTACAGATTATGACATGTCAGAAACCAATATTTTAGAGATTAATTTTCTGATTCTAAAGACCATCATTTTTAGAGGTTTTCATTTGTAAAGACCATCATTCTGATTCTACAGACCATCATTTTAGAGGTTTTCATTTGCTTTAATTGAGACATACATAGTGCTTTATTTGATTTACACTATTTGAAATAACAAATACATGATGAAAATTTGTTTTCTAAACCAGATTTGTTTTGAAAAGATTGTTTTAACAAATTTATAATTTAACCATTTTCGGTAATCAAGGTATATATTTAACAATTGAAGTGTATTCTGATATATATTTTATAAGTTACAAAGTTTTCAAGTTAAATTACACTTTCTAAGTTCTAAACAAAACCATAATTTACAGATTGATGATCGACTACAGTTTGATGGTACATTGCTGCTAATCTCATCCTGGAAATGTGAAGGATGACATATTGCACCTACTTTAATAACATGTATAAGAATTAACCAATATAGATTTGGAGTAATAGAAGTTTTAATGTGAAATATGAGTTTTAAATAGATACTTAAGCCAATAGCAAAATAGAAAGCATGAGTAGAATTGATATAACACTATAATAGTGCTACCAATTAAATACATCCAAAATCCATGAAAAACAGCATTATAGTTCTAAAACTTTGTCCACACACACACAAACTTCAAATTTTCTCTTGTTTCATACTGTCATTCTTGGACTTCTTATGTTTATTATATGAAGAGAACTGGCCCCGAAGGCATCTATTGACATTGTCTGAATTTTCAGTCACATTTGGCTTTGAATTCTGTTGAGTCTTGTTGTGTCACTGGACTATTGACTTCATCACCTTTAGACCCTTCTTGGAAAAATAAGATAGTGAATACAGTTTAAGTGTTTCAAAATAGAATGTAAATTAACAAACATAAATATAAAATAATTATCCAACTTACTTTGTATCAGCTATGTCCAGTTGTTTGATAGGTGTAGCAACACATGATAAAGAGCAAAGTAACCTATTATAGTACAGATTATATAACTGCTATTCTTATGATTAAAAAAAAATACCTCTTTTAGATAAATCTGCTATTCATATGAATTTTACATTATTAATTATGCCTTTCATTCAACTATGCATTTTATTCAATTATATAACGTTCTTTTATTATATGCAGGATGTGTGTCTTTGAAATAATAGGATATTGGGTTCAAAAATGAGAGTTCGCTATGATATACAGAGCAACCCAGGTAAATGTTACTCGGTAACTTATTCCAATGGAATTAAAAATCACCAACCTAAACCATGAACCCTAAACCCCGGAACATAAAAATCACCAACCTGCAAAAATTGTATAATATTTAGCCAAAACAGAAACTTTTTTGTTAGGGTAAAATCAAGTATGCTTACCAAATTGTGAAATCCCTTATGCCTCTTCAGGACTGTTTGTACTGCATTATCCATCTTGCTTGCTTGCAACTGAAAACCTTTTGTGATTCATGCTTGTAAACAAAATCTTATATATTTATATATACATACCACTTTCTGTCATATATTTTCATAGCAACAATATAGGTTAGCTGTGTGTATTTGCATTGAAAATTACAACTGCCTCACTGGTTTCCATCTGATGAAATAATCTTTGTATATGAAACTAACTAAACAAAAATGCAAATGATGAATACTACCGTCTGATGCCTAAGCCATAAGCATGTAACTGTCAGTTACTATTTCACTTCTAAAACTCACAGCATTGTGCTAAGTGTGTGTATACAGAGACTTAACAAATGTGCAGGTGTTCTCAGTTCTAAGCCTCACCTTAATCTTCAAGCAACTGTGTTGTTCCTCTTCAACAGCAATATGCATAGATGGCATGGTATCTTCGCACAGATTTTGGTTCTTCGTTTCTAATTTGCAGGTGGTTCGAACCGGGGAGATGGTGAACTTGGGGGCGAATATTGATATGAAGGAGCTTTATATAGAGGCTGAAATTTGTTCTCCATGAATATTGTCTTGGAACTATGAATCTTGCTGGAAACGTTTGAAGACCCAAAGACTACATTAAAGAGATTGTTTTTTCGAAGCATTTTATGTATGTGTATATCTGTATATATATATATATATATATATATATATATATATATATATATATATATATATATGTAAATAAATGTAGATTATAGGTTAGTTTCTCAATGTAATTAGAAGTCTTTCATTATTAAAAGTGTAATTTCATTGGTAATTGACAATCTTAACCGGCAGTATCACATTGAAAAGCGTAAGGCAATGTGAACACAATTAATTAGACTGATTGTGTTATTTATCATTAAAACGACGCCGAATTATTTAGGCGGGAAGATGTTTTTGGTAGAAATTTAGTGCTTTATTATAATGATAGATGATAGATTTTATTAATTTTATTAATAAGATTTGTCAGCCCAATAGTTTCTTAATCTCACTTTAATAATGATAATAATAATAGTAGTAGTATTTTAGTTATACTTGGTTAGTATGGAGTTTTAATAATTGTAGAATTTTATTGGGTTCTAATTTATTTTATTGAAGTGAAAAAATAATTATTTCTATAATTCCTCGGTCTTCCTTTTGTACGCAACTAAGCCTCTAGATCATCCGGTCAATACCACTGCGAGAAAGGAGATCGCAAGCAGCTTCTTCGGCCATTGACGTGCAATATAAAAGGAGAGCGATAGAAGGAGGAAAGGACGATCAATTCACTCCGGACTAATTCCGGGGGCGCAACCGGTTCTGGTGTTTGGCGGTGTTAATCTGCGATTCAGCAATTCGACGCAATTTAGTTCCGACGGTGACGTTGGTAGTCTTTCTGGTCGGCAGCAGCACTATTCTGGTTCCTTTTCTTTTGTCATTAAATTAAGTTGCAATCTGTTCCCGTACTCGTAATTAGTACTTCCCATTTCAACTCAAACTTTGTTTAATTGTCCGTAGCAATTTTTGGTTCATTCTGATTAGCTTTTTATAACTTATTTACATTTGCTTAGTGGACTTTGTTGAGGATTGCCTTACTGCATTTTTGAATTGCGCTGAGACGCTAATTACTAGCTTTCACTGCCAAGTTTTAATAATACTGTTTAAGGAAATATTTCCTATTAATCTCTGTGAATGTATATCTTGTATTATCAAACTAATTCATAAGGAATAATACAATATATATAATCCTGACTATGACTACTCTAAACAAGGCAAGTATCAATTTACATAATGTAGAGAATTGTAACAGACAATTACAATGATTTACAATGATTTGATTGGATATACATTAATACACCCCCTCAAGCTGAAGGTTGGAGGGAGACAACATTAAGCTTGCCACGTAGAACGTCAAAGCGCGAAGCTGGAAGCGGTTTTGTAAAGATATCAGCCAGTTGATCTTTGGTGGATATAAAATTGACTAGAAAGTCCCCGGATGCTACTTTGTCACGAACAAAGTGAAAGTCAATCTCAACATGCTTCGTTCGAGCATGAAAAACAGGATTAGCACACAAGTAGGTGGCGCCAAGATTATCACACCATAGTGTAGCCGGAGTACCAGAATGAAGACCCAGTTCACGGAGTAGTGACACAACCCATGTGACTTCAGCTGCAACGTCTGCTAACCCTTTGTATTCAGCCTCAGTGGAAGAGCAAGCAACAGTGCGTTGTTTACGTGAAACCCAAGAGATTAAGTTGCTGCCAAGAAAAACAGCATACCCGCTAGTGCACTTGCGATCGATCGGACAACCAGCCCAGTCGGAATCGGAATAGGCATGAATGTCAGAGGACTGGGAGATAGATAGACGAAGACCATAGTCCAAAGTACCCTTAACATACCGTAACACACGTTTTAAGAGACCCCAATGCTCAACTGTCGGAGCGTGCATAAACTGGCATAGACGGTTCACTGCATAGGAGAGATCAGGGCGCGTAATAGTTAAGTATTGGAGAGCCCCTGCTAAGCGTCGATACTGAGTGGGGTTATCAAAAACTTCATCAGATGGAGTGACTGCTTTAATAATAGAAGCCGGAGTGGTGAGCGGTTTGCAATCAGTCATACCAGCCCTGTTTAGAAGATCACCCATATAACGACGCTGAGAGAGTAAACAAAGCCCATTACTGAATAGAGTTTCAATGCCCAAGAAAAAAGATGGCTGGCCGAGATCCCGTATTTTAAAAACCGTAGCTAGTCGCTGAATAAGAGTGTGAATGAGACTAGAGTCATTTCCCATCATTATAATATCGTCCACATACACTAGCAAAAATACTCTAGCGGTACCAGCAGAGTAATGAAAAAGAGACACATCGATTTTTGAGGCTAAAAAACCTGTAGCAAGCAAAAACTCGTGAAGACGTTTGAACCAAGCACGTGGAGCCTGTTTAAGGCCATACAAAGAACGCCGAAGATGACACACATGATTTGGATGCCCAGGTTCCTCATACCCAGGTGGTTGCCGCATGTATACAGTTTCAGCCAAATGCCCATTTAAGAAGGCATTATGAACATCAAGTTGCCTTAGGGTCCAGTTATGAGAAACTGCGAGAGAGAGAAGGAGCCGGACCGTCGTGGGTTTGACCACAGGACTAAAAGTGTCAAAGAAGTCTTCCCCCTCTATTTGATTAAACCCTTTGGCTACAAGCCGTGCTTTATAACGTTCAATAGACCCATCTGCCTTGCGTTTGGTGCGATATACCCACTTACAACCAATAATATTCATGCCCGGGGTTGCGGGAACAAGGTCCCATGTGTGATTGTGAAGCAAGGCATTAAATTCTTGGTCCATGGCATCACGCCAGTGAGGGTGACCAACGGCCTGGGTGTAGCAACTTGGATCAGTGGGGCCCATGTTTGCTACAAGAGCATGGAATTGTTCAGTGGTACCATGTGTCATATGACGGAGACGCATCTCATGAGCCCGTTGTTGCGGGTCAGTAACCTTACGCCTTCGAGTGGTGCGGTTGCCACCAGTAGCTGGTGGTAAGACTCGTGGTGGAACCAGAGGGTAAGGTGCGGAATCAGTGGACGGTATAATTGGTCCTGAACCCCACGGTACATTAGAATCAATTGACGGCACTGTATCCTGTTTATTTAAAGCTGTAGAAAAAGGAAAAACAGTTTCGTCAAACCGGACATGACGACAGATAAAAGTCTTTCCAGTAGCAAGGTTTAAACAACGATACCCTTTAAAGGAAGTAGGATAGCCTAAAAAGACACATGAGGCAGACCTATACTCGATTTTGTGACGGTTGTAGGGTCGTAAGTAAGGGTAGCATAAGCACCCAAAGACGCGAAGAAAAGTGTAGTCGGGAGTCTTTTTGTGCAACTGAAAATATGGAGTGTTGAATTGTATGGCTGACGAGGGGAGGCGATTTATGAGATATGTAGCTGTTTCAAAGGCGGAGTCCCAGTATTTTAACGGAACTGATCCCTGAGCTAAAAGAGCCAACCCGGTCTCAACAATGTGTCGATGCCGGCGCTCAACACGGCCATTCTGCTCGTGGGTGTATGCACAGGACTGTTGATGTACAATCCCAAGAGTATTGAATAAGTTGTGCAAACGGCGATACTCACCCCCTAAGTCAGACTGGATGACCTTGATAGAACGTGAAAACTGACGTTCTACCATGGCCCGAAAAACATCAAACACCTTATATATATCAGTTTTTACACGAAGTGGATAATACCAACAAAAACGAGTGTGGTCATCCACGAATAAAACAAAATAACGAAAGCCATCTGCTGAAATAACAGGTGCAGGGCCCCAAATATATGAATACACTAGATCAAGAACAACACTACTAGTGTATTTTATTCTATCTAAAGAGAGACGACTAGACTTGCCCAACTGACAAGCCGAACAAAGACTCGGAGAGCTCAATTTTTGTGGTATAACTGGACAAGACTGGAGTGCACGTTGCAAGACACGATTATGCGGGTGGCCTAAACGACAGTGCCAAACAGCGGACGAAGCCCGAGCCGACAGAAACGCCAAATGGGACTGCGGAACAGTTAAAGAGTAGAGACCACCCGAACTGGGACCCTTAAGCAGCACCACCTTGGTTGTGCGGTCCTTCACAACAAAATACTCAGGATGAAATTCAAAAAAGACGTTATTGTCAGTGGTGAACCGATGAACAGATAATAATGAAATGGAAAGATCAGGAACATGTAGAATGTTGGACAGTTTTAAAGGTTTAGAGACAGATGGTATCGTTGCACAACCAGTACTAGAAATACTTAAACCTGTACTGTTACCAATGCGAAGGACGTCGTTGCCGGTGTAACCCTCGGATTGCGACATCATGGCCGGATCGGGAGTGGCGTGAGAGGATGCGCCGGTGTCAGGATACCAAGCCGCAACCTCCGGTGGAGAACTGCCATCGGAAGGAACTGCGACATTTGCCTGCGGTGGTGATGGTTGATCGGAGTACCGCCGGAAACAATAAATGGCAGTGTGGCCGTGTGACCGGCAAATTTGACAACGAGGAGAGCCACCACGGCCACGGCCTTGGCCACCACGACCACCACCACGGTTCTGCCACTGATTGGGGCGACCACCACCGCGATTCTGTCTGCCTCCACCATTCTGCCTGCCCCGAGTGGCAACCATCGCCGTAGGAGCTCCAGTCCCCGGACCGGTCAGAAAGTCGTCGGAGTGGATAAACGTCTGAGCTTGTAGGTAGTCCGACAATTGAGGGAGAGTGACCGGAGTGCCGGATACAGCCAGAGAAGAAGCCATCACCCGGAATTCCGGCCGGAGCCCCCTAAAAACGTACAGATTCTGCTCGTCAAGAGGCATCGGCTGGCCGGCCTGCGCTAGGTCTTCGACGAGAAGTTGGGCTCGGCCGAGATACTCGGCAGTTGACATCTCCCCTTGGCGAAGCGCCTGAAATTGACCAAGAAGGTTGAGGCACCGGATCCTCGTCGATGAGCCTAGAGCAGTCTCAATGGAGCCGTGGAGCGGCCAACCGCAAGATACATGACCTCCTCGGAGAGGGAGGAGATCAAGAGTGATAAGATGGACTGGTCTTGTTGAGTCCATACGGAGAAGGCCGGATTGGCAGCGGTGGACGTGGCTTCATCGGAGGTGCC